TCAGGGGTTGGAAAGCAGAAGAGACGAGGGATGGCTCTTTGTCTCGGGGGTTCGGATTCTGAAGATAGAGGCTAATTCCTGGCAGCCACCCTTCGAGGAATGTCGACTTCTACCCTGCACAAGATCTCCTCTTGTCCACCTTTTCGTCCTTTCGTCCTTTTCCTTTGCCTTTGCTTGGATACTTTGATGTTCCTAATTTGATTGAAGGAATCCGTCGTACGGATACTAACTTCGTCTTTATTGATTGCTGTTTTGTTCAACCTCCGTTGTCGAAGGATCGATAGACGCGCCGCAGGATGCAAGCGATATCTAATCCGAAATCCTTTCGACGTAACGTTTAAATTCCACTGATCCTTGCTATAGTCCACCTCATAGGTAAAGCTGACGATTCACTTTATCGTACGTTGAGGAAGAGTGGATCAATCCTTACAATTCGATTATAACGCAATTAACTTTTTCAATTCAGTAATAATAAAGAATGTAATGTAAAGAGAGCTCTTATAAGAATCATAATAGTGACCAATTTTTTATGTCATTAACAATATTTCTGTCATCACGTCGATAATCTACCAACATTTCCGCAATTTTTCTCAACATATCAGCCTTATAAGTTCTGCTTGAGACAACTTATGCTAGCGACAGTTATTACGTCGTAACTATCAAGAGAATCGTCGAAAATTCGTTTTGATTATATCGAAGTCGCTGCTGGCATCCAGCGATCGGGCTTCTAATCTGATTCGAGCCGTTTATACGGAACCAAATGTCGATATCCACTCCAGCGTGGACTTCAACTTCCTTTTTTCCTCCCCCCAATTCGTCCCGCCTCTGGCCGCCCGTAAGGAAAAAAGGAACGCTATCAGGAAACCCGATAAAGGGGGTCCGCGAATTTTCTGCAAAACCGGAGAGATCTCGGACGGAGCTGCGCGCCGTATCTTATCGTGAAGCAGACGTCCGCGGCAGAGAATCCCCGGACTCGGGCATCCCGTATATAGGTACGTACCTGTATTATATCTGCGTCGTTCACATATCTGGATAGGAGCGCATCATATTCCCCCGTACCTTTCTACCTACCCCCTACCACTCTGTATCGATACATCGTACGAATATCGCGCACGTGTATCTATATTATATCTCGCGAAATATCGAATGGGCGTCGTCTCGAACGGAGATGCTATGCTATAGGATGTCCTATAGCACGTCTAGAATGCGCGCCGGATTACCGATCGCGACAGTATCATTTATACGAAATTCCGATTGTTACGATTTTCTATGACTTGCAGCTTACTATATAAAATGATGAACAACTGCGTCCAAATATAAAAATTTTGTCGTTTAGTCTTATCAATGTCTGTAGCACAATGAACGCAATAAAAAAATGTAAGCAAGATATCATATATCCCTACATATTATATACAGTAAAAAACATTTCGTATTTGTATTAAAATTGGTCCTCTTTAAAATTCTTGTATTGAATTTTTATTCACAATTTATGAGTAAATAATTAATAAAAATATTTTAAAATATGAATTCTAAAATAAATAAATAAAATGTTAATTTTACTAAAAAAAACTTCTACAATTTGTTACAAAATATATACAATTGCGTGTACTTACTTATATTTAAAGAATTTTATTTTTTTATACGTATATTAATGTTTAAGTATTTATATAATTTAATTACATTTGCATAATTTTATTATTAGTTTAATAATTATAACAAGATCAGATTTGTTCGTCAATGAATATGATTGTACAGTCAAATTATTATCGCTCTGTGTTCGTATTATATTAAAACTAAAATATAATATTTTTAACCTTTTATATAATATATTTTTGAAATATTGGAATGGAGTGGTTCATTTTTCGTTTTCTTCTTCCCGTTGTGCAACGGGCGGCATCTGTATCTCTTTCATAACAGGTACACATGTGTATTTGTGCGCGAAATGCACACCTACATACATATCGGCAAAGTACCCATTACCAGTATTCGAGCGGTATTAATCTACTCGGGCTAATTGCATGTCGATTACAGTGATCGTAACGAGTGCCGATAAATACTGGAATCAAAGTGAAAAATTTCCACTTGAAACGTTTTAGGCCATGCGTGCGATACTGAGTGTGATGAAGGCTGTTTTGATCGATATAAAATATCGCCGATCCATTTGGGAGATGTTATTCTACTTTATGATATGCGAGGTTCCTCGTCAATTTACGAAATAAATTACAGGAATTATACAAGAATTATTAGTTCTTCATATAAATGTACTCCTCTAGCGTGTTATTATTGATATTCTCACGACTGTATAAAAATATAAAACAAATATTTACTTTAATTATTTAGTATACATATGAATAGCTATTTAAAATATATAAAATAACATTTATACACTCCACATCATATTTTTTCAAGACTTACTGTTACTAACTATAATAATTTATTTAATTAACTTAATTTTAAACGTAACGATATAGAAAATAATCGTATTACGAGATAAATTAAAAAATGATTGGATTCCTTTTGCTTTTCATCGCTCGAATTTTGCAAAAAAGGGCCGCGGGCATGTCGAAAGGGCATCGGTTGTCTCGGGGAACGAAAATGGTTGAGGATGAAGGGCAACACAATGGCATTACTAATGATTTTACTTCGAGCGACCCTCAGGGAAGTCATATCGATACGATAGGATACCGCGATACGCGAGCAGAAATGCCGCGCCGGTCGGATAAACCAGGAACCTCCAAGCCCTCCGCTTCCGTTTTTACTGATGGCGAAGAACGAAAGAAGGGGAAAAAAAGAGAGAGAGAAAGAGAGAAAGGAGAGAAAAAGAGGGAAAGAGAGAACACCGAGAGACCAGTTCAGGGGTTACGTCTACTTGATCGACCCCGCCGACTGTCGATGATTTCGTTTACTTCGAAATGGAAAAGAGCGAATAAAGCTCCGACGATGACGTATCTTACAGTTCAATTTCGATTTTCAAACCGGTTTCGATTAATTTGATTGAGAGATAATTTTGTTTCTATTTTTTAATCTTTCACTTCTTTAATTATATATTATACTCTTTTATATTTAGTTGCAATCATAATATAAGTATATATTTGCGTTACAAAAGAAACATTTAATTAAATTACATCTGTATTCTTCATTTTTTGTTGACATTAACTTCATATACAAAATATTAAAAATTAACAATTTAAATATTTATTTAACCGTTATTTTGAAATAATAAATATTCTCTTTTCTATAACATAAAGTCCGAAATTGAGAGATTTAAAGATCAGACGCGCACGTTGGCGCGCAAAAATTTCGAGAAGAAAAAAGGGACAGCTGTATATTCGGCAACATCGTTTTAGGGGCTGTTACGCTCCCACGAGGCTGCACGAGGCGCCTTACCCTCTCGGTACAGCTAAATGTCTACATTCCTTCTACCATTCTATCCCTCGTCGCGCCACAACACTTCGAAACTCACTCACTCCGCCATTCCTACGCCAGAAAATCCCTCGCGGCGTTCACTCAATCATACGCTGTTTGTGTCGCGACGACCACGTAGCGCACAATCGGCGCAAGAAAAAGATGTCCATCGAGCAAGAAAACTCACCCTGCTTGGTCTTGGTGTCATTCAAGCTCTCAGGCCCTCATCTCTTTCTCCTCCTTGTCCATATAATCGCAGTTTTACACCACAATCACAGATCAATCACTGACTCATTTTGTGAAATATCAGTTAGAGCCATTTCGGCGTATTTAACTCCATAGGTTGTCTTATCTAAAATATGCATTCTAATGTTGCTCATTTTATCGTTGTTACATATTATCGACTGTTATATTAGATAATGATGAATCTAAGTATATTTTTTATACGTTAATCTATTTAATAGTCGTTTTGTATTGATTAATTTTTATTATCCGGACAACTGTTTCTGTTTCACTTTATCTATTACTAAACTAATTAATTTATTAAAATATTACTGCGCCCTAATAACTGTATGTAACTTGTATTTGCTGTTATTATACATTAATTCTTATGTACATCAAAATGCAATCTGAATAGATATCAGAGTTCTTTCTGGAATATAAATACTTATGAATATCGAATTATATGCTGTGGAATACTATATAATGTGCATTAGAATTACACATATAATGTGCATTACTTTACAATTACAGCATCATACATGGACGCGTAAGATCGCGAAGATAATATTCTCGCTAGTAATTTGGTTCCTTGATTAACAATCATCTTTGATGCCTACTTATTACAGTGGGATGGCAATTTCCTGTATCATAAAAAATATTTATTTTTGCCGTAATCCGACGCGCTGGCGTGTAGGAAGCGGAACGCATTTGACTGGTTTAAATCTCGTCGAGTCACTACCGTTAAGTACGATTAATTATTTTAAGCTTTCCACTTCACGAGCATCGTTCAAAAGTAGGTTCCAGTATCTGCTTTCCACAATCTGCGTGAATCGTATTTGCATTTCGCAATTGTTTTTTTTTTTTTTTTTTCGAATATCCCGATTTATTCGCACTAGACATGGGTTGGATCGCAGTAATTGATTTTGTAACGCTCCATGCATAATGCGTCGATGCCAGATATGAGATATATAATAATAACAATTTAATTTTTAATCCATACAACACAGATCATTCTAGTAATATTGCAGCAATAATGCAACGTTCCAACAACATTGCAGTAACATTGCAAACGTTGCAACAATGTAGCTGTGTAGTACCTCTGAGAACAATCATATGATAATTGCTGGAAAATCTCTAATTACGAAGTAAAATTAAGCTAGTTCTAGCCTTTTACATTTGTTTGTAAAAGGCTAGAATTGTAAAATTCAACATGTTTTAAAATTGCTGCAATTTTCAAGATATCTTCATTGTAATTATTATCTTTTCTTGTATAAGTATATACTATACTTTCCTTGTATTGAAATGAAATAAACAATAAGATTTTTCATTTACCACGTAATGAAAATAAGTTAAAAAGTATTACGTAAAATTATATGCTATGCGCTAAACGTAGGACGTTTATCGTTAGCCCCACAACTGTGCCTTCTCTTATTCTCTCCAGGAGCATCCTCCAGGAACTCTCTGCGACGAACAATGCCTCTGTTTTCCGCTTCTCCCCCGCCGCGGAAACCATTTTTATTCGCTACAGTATGCGCTTCATAATCTTTGTCGACTCCTCGAATGTCAGACTTCTTCTTGCCCTGCCCGCACATCCTTTTCCCTCACTGCCCATTCCCGCAACCCTCCTAGCCGAATGTTGCCTCGCTTTCTTGCGAGAGTTTCTCCTCAGGATAGAGATCGCCTTTGTGCTTCCATCGACTTGGGCTGACAGGTGGAAATGGACGATTAAACGATCGACAAACCCGCCAAGAATTGTCTGGAAGCGTTGGTCAGTACTATCGCAAAAAGCAGTCGCATTCAAAACGAGGTGTTTTTTGTAACTCGCCGTTTATGTCCGAGAAGTTAAAAGAATGGCGCGAGAGAAAAGGAGCGATGTTTATTTGAAGTAAATATCGTAAAACAGATGTCTTCTTTTTATTGCAGCAAATACATGTAAAAATTTTTTTAAGTTTTAAAAAGAGAAATTTAAAAAGAGAATTTTATTTGTTTATCATTTGCTAATTTTTTAATGAGACATATTATAGATAATTATAATGCAACTTCCTTGGTTTTTTTTTGTTGTTATCAAATATCAAAAGTATTTTGTTTTAAAGTTAAATTGTGCTACCGAAATATAAGTGGTTTGTATACATTTCAAACAATAAAAATATCCCGACAGAAAAGATGTATTAATAAAAAGAAGAATAATTTTTATAATAAATTCTTTTCATAGTCATAGGATAGTAGAAAACTAATGCGAGTCACCACAGGTTGTTGATGTGTAAGAATAGCATATATTCAGAAATGAAATAATTACAGACGTTTCGATCCTTATTATTGGATCATCTTCAATGTAGTTTTTGAAACAATTCAATTATACAAGTTTAAAACGTTTAATGATCGCTTAATATTTCATCAATAGATAAGATCCAAAATTGTCTGTCGTATTTAACTGAATACTCAAACAATTAACATTATATTACATTATATTACATTATATTACATTATATTGACGATGATCAGATAAATTAGAAACGTGCGTACGGTAAGACATTTCAAAAATGTGTCTTTTCATAATATTTCTTATACAATTACACATTCTCACACACTGTTTCCATTATGTTTCTTATATTGCCTTATACTCTAGTCTTATACTCTAGTTATGTGTCTTTCTTATCCTAGGACGCTCGTACGATATCCTCGAATACACTCACATCAAGGCAGGGAGAGAAAGTAAGCGAGAGAGTGATGAAAGGAAAAGGAGGGTTGCGGCCGAAAAGAGAGCAAAGAGGTTTAGGTTAAAAGAAGAGGACGATTATTTATGGGACGGTTGTATAGTGGCGCGTCCGTGCCATGCATAGACAGTACCTCATTCCGATCGGCAAACGAATGGCTCATTTTCCGTCCGTAAATGTACGGAAATGCCACTCGAGAATGGCATTTCTTAATATTCGCCGGTATTAGGAGATAACCGGGGTAAGTCACATTCTCATAGAAGCGCAACGTTGCCATACTCTTAAGAACTGACCTGTGGCTATACAATGCCACAGGTATTTAATAGTATGCATTGCAATATGTACAATATAAGATTTTAATCTTCTCTTTTTTAACTCAATATCTTAAAACTACGCCGATTGCTATTACTTTTCATGTAAAAAAAAAAAAAAGAAATGCGCGATGTCTTAAGATATAAAAACGTTGTATTTCCTTTTTTTTTTTGAAATATAAAATATTATCGATTATTTCTCTTAAGATGTATTATATATATATTTTTATATACAATACATTATTGACAATTATATAACATCAGAATAAAATAAACATTATGGTAAAAACTACACACACACACACACACACACAGCATTAAATTAATACACGAATATTTCTCACGACATCTCACGTTAAATCATCTCAGAGCCAAATTTTTGTGGTCAACCGCGACGTTGAAAGCGCGAAAGCCACATCGTCGTTGGAATGGAGGAGGCTGGATTCTTCTTCCGACGGAATCGTCGTGAAAAAAGAGAAAAAAGGGGGCAGGACGGATGCAGCTTTTCAGAAGAGCTTTTACGAGTCGCATATGTGACCGCCATCTCCTTTATCCCCCGCTTTATATTCCTGGCACCGTGTTACATCCCTCCTACCCTCCGGCCACCAGCTTCTCCTCGTACAACCATCACCTCAACCCCCACGAACCGGACGCTCAGTTACGGGAGCAAGGGGTGTCGGCAAGGAACACCGACACACCGCCTCCAATCGTGGCCGACCCTTGAAAGCCTCGTGAGGAATTCTTTTTTCATATTCACCAGGGAGTGATAGTCCGACGTAACCTAACAAATTTCCAACCCTCGAATCTACGAGAAATACACCCTCCATTTCGTTTGCCCGAACGCGCATTTAAATCCTCGAAGATCCTCGCTTTGCTCGAGCGAGAACCGATCCTTTCTCGTGCTGTTTCCCGCCATCCGTCCAGTCTTACCACCCCCATCCGCTATTCCACCCCCGACTACTCCACGAAAAGCATGGTCGACCACCATGACCGCCCAGGGACCGATTCTTTCCACGCACAATTTACAGTTTCACATTTTATTCCCATCGCGCGTTCGACAGCGGGGGGTTGAAGCGCGGGGGCTCCATCCGGATAAACTCGTTTCTCCCTCCTGGTCGCCAATCATCTTTCCTGTCGGGTCTCTGCGGTTTCTTATGGAGAACGGGGGTCCACCCGGAAATCCGCGAAATTGTTATTTATGATATCGAAATTCGAAGACAACTGGGTCTCTACGTTAGATTATAAGATCGTGACTAATGCAAATAATTCAAAAGTTCAAAAGCTATTAATGTATTAAGTAACGAATTACAGCTAAACAATTATTTTCTAAAAATATATTTTTTAACATTCAATTAAAACATGATACTTAATCATTGAGATCAATAAAATTCACATATTTGCTGCTTAATTGTAAATTTATATGTGTCAGTTTGTTTTTGTATAATTATATCAACAGATTATTATTTAACGACTGTTTTATTACCTGCATGAGGGCTGAATTGAATGTAATGAAATATTTTCTCATAATTGAATAATCAACGGTTAATTAAATGGTAATCAAACTGAGATAATTATCGCAACTAAACTATTTATCATGGTTAAATGAGTGAGTGCTGTGTATAATTATATTCATACGGTTATTTGAATAATTGCTAGACAAATTAATAGAAGATAAAAGATTAACGCATATTAAGTGTGTCCGGTCAGAAATGTTTGCGAGAATTAATTAAATAAAAAATATACTTCTCACACACACACACGATATATTCACATACTGAAAATATATTTAATAAAATGTATTTTTGTAAAATTAGATTTATTTAAATAGTTTATTTCTAAATTTGAACATGTGTTAATTATTATTAACTAATTTTTCTGAAAATATTTTATTTTTAATTTCTAAAAGAGATATTTAATTTATTATTATTATTAATACTTGTTTGACTTATTTAATCATAGAACTTTAAACATAATAATATGCATGCATAATAATCTAAAATAAAAAATTTTAATGTTATTCCTACTATATCTATTATAACACAAATGATAGAAGTGATTCAAAAGTGACTGTTGTTTTATGTTTATAGTTAATTCGATTATGTGGGTGGTCGCTAATCTGGAGATCGTAATTAATCGCTAGACATAATTATAAAATACGTAATAATTCAATTTTTAATGGTTGAGCCAGAAAGAACCTTTGATTAAGAAACTATTTCAGTTTTTACATTCAGTTGCGCTTTTTCCTAAATAATTGATTATCTATATATACAACGGTGTGCTGGAGAATTAATAAATATAGTTTAATGCCTATCTACAATAATTCTTCTAATGTAATTCCATTATGTATTAATAAATTTTAAGAGATGGCAAAAAATCCTTTAACTATTTTTAAATATCAATTTAAATACAATACAATAAAGCAATGCAAAATAAAATTGCTCCATATAATATTTATCAAAGATATATTAATGTTTTAAAAAAATCATTAACAATAAACTGTTTCTTGCTATTTTCACAAAATATAATTATGGGCTAATACAGTATTTGGTTTTATCCGCAGCACGTGCGAACTAGAATGACGGCGTGGAAGGACGCAGCAGGTCGGCGAGACGATAAATTACAAAGGACGAAACGATGGCTGAATCACTGTGAACTGTTAGGAGACATTAAAATGCCGCGCCGCAAAAATCGAACAAAGTAGGAGGCATCGTGGTACATTTTGCGTCACGGTCACGCAAATCTACCGTCGATTGGCACGAGTTACGGCGTCGCGAAACGGTTGGCCGCGGACACGTTCGGAAGTCAATGAAGGATCGGCATAGGAAAGAAACGGAGCTATTAACTGACCGGCGAACAGAAGAAACGACCTCGCGATTGCACCGTGAACGAGAATCCGTCGCCGATGTTGATCAATGCTGGAGTTCACGGATTTAACGGCGATTGACGGAAGTGTTTGAATCGCAAAAATTTTCCAGTAAGTATCGCTATTGTATGCAAATTTATGGATCAAATCGATTCTGTTCGCTCTTTCGACGTAAATAACGCGAATATTTTGATTGTTTTTCTCATATTCATCGGCATGTGCATGATTCCAATTTTATGGTATAAATCAACACGCGGAAACACGCAACACGAGCATGGTTAGATGCATCAAATCATGCTTTCGAGTAGTCTATACATTATCTTAAACGGAAATATACATATATTGTATTGTACTGCAATGTAGCTGAGGATCAGGAGAAGCAAAACGTCTGTCATGTGCGTCAATATCATAATTAAAGCCAACATATATGCTAGCAAATAAGGAAGCGATTTTCCTTCGAGAGTGATACGCTTCTATGCCTCTATAAATAAATATATATTAAAGTCCAACATGATACAAAAATATCAAAGGTTCTAGTTCATAATTCTCTTTCGCATAGCAGAATCGCTAAAGAGGTATTTCTCAACTATAAATTATAAAAGAACATTATCTCGAATATATCGTATCCATTTTTTCATAATTAATTTTTTAAGCATAAATTATACATTTAATAATATCTTTCCATTTTTAATGACCGCAATTATAAGTAAACGAGGTAATATCTGAATAATGCTTAACACCTCGGTTTAAATGTAACCGTATCATGTAAGTGTAACCATCATCAAGACAATATCAAAACAAAGTTGCTCCTTTAATGAACCCCGTGATTAATGAAGGAACGGGTTTGACATGAGTAGCACATGCTGCAGCGACTAACGAGCCGTTGTTGCTTTTCTGCGGAATCGGGAAAACGCATGCTCGAGGTAACGTTGCACGCGTTCGGATCTCGTTAATGCAGAAACAATTTATGCCGTGGTGCACGCTCCCACTTGGTTGATTATATTTATGACTTCCACGTATTACGCCTGATTCGTAATGCTTCCAGCCCATGGGGTGCAACGCGAAGCGGTTGCTGCATCGGCCGGTTTAGCGCGATGTTGCGCTCGGGCCAAAGCGCGAGCGATAAGTTAATTCGCGCCGGTGTAACTGGCCTGCGATTAATCGGTACATATCGTATCCGTGTAAATTAGATGAAGCGATGGGCACAGCGGGAATACGGCAACGTCCGCGGAAAACGCAATTCGCCAGCTCCACCAGGCTGTATTTTATGGCATTCGATAGTGTGGATGCAAAGTATCACGCAATAATTATTGAAATATTATCGTTATCTTTATTGCTGTAGATATTCATCTATGCGGTTGTCTTTTCTTCGATTTTGCATTCTCAATTTTCCTAAAAAATATATACGTTATATAAAAAATTAAAAATGTATCTATTTTTAAAGGACGATCGGAAATGTAACGATGATCATATAAACTTAGAAATTTTCTTAATAATTTTTTGTGCAAGGTATTATGTGCAATAATTACTGAAATATTATCGTTATTACTGTAGATATTTGTCTAGTTGTCTTTTCTTCAATTTTGCCTAATTTTCAATTAAAAAAAAAAACAAATTAATAATTTAACAATATAAAAAAAAAAGATACATTATACATAAAACTATCCTGTAACATATGTAATGTTCTATATCTAAAAAATGTATTCTGTGAGAATATTCTCTTTAATATTTTTATCTTTTAAAGACGATCAGAAATACAACGCTGTCCATAAGTTTTAGAGACTTTCTTAACGATTTTTCCCGAGTTACTTGCTGTCTACATCCGATACTCGTGCAAACAATATTACATTAGCGACCTGGCCAAACACCTACTGACGTTTCGGCGATGATGACGAGCTGACATACGTTCCGGTTCTTGCTATTATCCGCCCTAGCATTTTCGTTTATCCATATTATCCTGACCCGTGTACTTTTCCAATAGCGTTGACGCTATTGGTTGATTAGCGTCCAAAGGAAATTGTCTCATAGTTCGATAATCGACGCATCACAGTATTGCAAATAAATCAAACAGCTGATAATAGTAAGATAGAGAGAAAATTTAATACACAAATATTTATTATATTAAAAATTACAGTTCCCAATTGTGAAGAACTTTTTCAAAAGATGACAAAAATTAATCGTATAATACGATGATCGTTATATACTGTCATATATATTTCAGAATAGCTCCGGTGATGACTCACAACAATATCTGCGGCGATGTTATCATCAAAGAATGGAACTACGAACCGAATTAATTTTCTCGGACACGGATCAACTCGATCGCGACCGTCTGAACAAAAATTAGATGTTCTCTATTAGAGTGGCTGACCCGTTTACATTCACTGATCAGTAAGTAGCAATAAATATTTGTTGGGTGACTACCAAACGCAATTATTGGGTAACACATGGCCCCTGACGTACCTCTGTCGTCTCGATAAAGTGTCCAGCAGCACGTTATATTGCCATTGCGGGAAGTTTGTTCCTGCATTATTGATTTATTGCCTTTGGTATATTATTCGATCAGTCACATTATATCCGTTCATCGATTGAATAAGATATATTTTTGTACAATTTTGAATATTCTGCGATCAATTAAATCCAATTCTATCAATTCTTTATGATAGCATGAACCCGAATGAAATCAGAATATATGTCTGACGAAAAAACCAAGTCATACGGTAATTTAATTTTTTTTTAATACAGGATAATAAAAAAAAGGTTGGCTACAAAGTTTTGTGTTTATTAAATCGTTACTCAGGTGGCGAACTGATGTTATTGCAGTCATTATGATGTCAAAATGACATTAAAGTCATTTTTCTGTCAAGAAATATATATATCTTTAAAATAACTTATATCAAACCTATAAGATAGCCTAAAGATATATTTTAAATATTAATTATTATTTTTTATATTTAATAAGATGTAACTAATATTAAAAATCTTATTTATTTGTAAAATCATTGGTATATTAATTCGTTAGTATTTTAACGATTACTATTATTAGTGATTTGGTAAACTCAAAACTTTGCGATTAATCTATTTTGTCACCCCCTGTACTCGTATCGTGTGACACTTAGATAATATAATTAAATAACGTATTTTTTTCTTATTGCAGGAAATACGAGATAATATGACTACTTTTCAATTCATACTATAAAGCTTCTTGTGTCATCGTTACATTTCCGTAAAGAATCGCACGCAACAAGAAGCCACGGTGGGCGGCGGCCGTCATTGATCTCCTGTTAGAATCGGATCACTTCGATGTAACAAGATAAATAGTCAGCGGGACACCGTCGGTGGTCGAGGGTGCGGATCGTGGAGTCATGCTGACTATGTATCTGATGATCAAGAGAATTGAGTACGCGCACGCTTGTCCGATCTGGGATGTATTTAACGCATACATCAAGGTACACTGAAAGTTCTTTGATCGCGCAACAAACCGATGGGACACCTTTTCGATTCACTTACATGAGATGAAGTTCAATTCACTTAGACGAGATCGTCGACTCGCTTCTGCGTGAGCTAAAAATTGAATACTAAAAATTATACTGGTAATTCAATTTCTTGACATAACACACACAATATTGTTACGCGATGAAATAACGAGCGACCTGTAATTAATCGATTTACGCTACAACGACGAGAAAAGCGATAAATGATTGACTAAGAATCACCGAAGCAAGAACTATATCGGATTTCGCATCATCTAACCGCAAATCTCACGATCTAATGACAAATTCTCGCTTTAACGTTTCTCATAGCGCGCTCACCGGCGAGGAACTCCCAGGCTGCCGAACAGCGCGAGCCCGATCAGCTTTTTATTCCGTGGCGGGTTTTTGCACGATCATCGGGACTTTCGTCACGGCAACACCCGGGCACGTGACGCCGTGAACACGGTGTTACAGGTGTTTGCGCCCATCCACAGTCTCGACTATGATGACATCCTTTCGAATCGATTCGTCAGACTTTCCCTCTCTTGGATTTTTGTCGCAACGCCTCTACCACCCGCGAGTGTGAAATGGTAACGTTCCAGGAAAACGTCAACCGATCGCGTCAGACTATCGACCAACCGGCCGGTTCGTTCTACTTCAAGCCGCCATCGTTCGTTTCTTCGTCGCTCGCCGACGTTCCACGTTTTTGTTAACGGTATCCTGTGGCCGGTCCGAAGACGTCCAATAACTTCGTTAAGTGTTTTTACTCAGAATGCAGAATCGGAGGTCTCCGGAAGTGGTCTGATACAGAACATTCAAGCAGGTTTCTTTTCTCTGCTCGAGCTCTCGGAAGCTCCCCGTTATTAACACTATCGTATCTACAATGTTTCTTTAATTGCTTAAAATGATTCTCGATATCTCCCGTTAAATAATAGTAAAGAATAATATGCTCGAGTTTGAAATATTGAAGCGTGATAAATATAGCTTAAATACAATAGAAATATATAGAGAGTTTATCGTTTCTTTCTTTTATCTACTTTCTGATAGGCTGTTATATTCTTAGAAACCTTATATCACAAAATCTGGCCATGAACAATTTTATTACAATAAAATCCTACGAGAGAAAAAGATGTATATGATTTGTCTCTATATATACATTATTTCATTTTAACTTATACCGTTTCACTCTATAATTTTAATTAAGATTACAGAGTGAGTTAGTATAAGTTAGAGCGAAATATAAGAAAGAAATTATGTCTTTTTCTTTTCGTAAGATGTTGAAAAATCACTCGTAGAGTAGCCAAACTCTAATGTAAGATCTCTAGGAATGTATTACTCATCAGAAAGTAGGTAAAAGGAAGAAACACGATCGATTCAAATAAAAACATTGCGATTACAGAAGCTTCCGGTGGAACAGCGATTGTATGTACTATTCGACTCGTTACAAACGCGGTCACGATTATAAGTAGTCCAGATAACAAAAAATATCTAGTAAAACAAGCGAAGTGTGATCGGTTACGTGCGAGAGGGTGGGCATAAACGATGAAAAGGGGTGGCCCAGGGGTATTGGCGAGGAGCTCGTCTGCTCGGTGAACCGTGGATTAAGATAAACCCTTCATCGGTTTCTTGTCGAACGATTCCTGTCGTCCTTTTGTTGGCGCAACCCGCAGATAGCGCCGGCTTAAAGTACTTTCCGTCCCCGTGCGGAAATTATTTAACGCCGGTATATATCTGTCCAGCTGCGGCGGCGGCGGTGCGCGAAAGATCTTCGAAGCGATAGAAAGTAATAGAAAGCGTGGAAGAGGAACAAACGCGAAAGGAGTAAATTTAAGATTTGCATTACCGCGGGGAGTAAAGATTACCCATGCGTGAAAGTAATCGGCACGGAAAAGCGGAAAATCTGCAATTTTTATTTGTAGAAATCTGATATCTCTTATGGCGCAATTTGTAGACTGGTAATTACCGAATCAATGAATATGAAGCAATTTCAAATGACTAAATAAGGAAAACTAGATTTCAAAAATATAAGCATTCCTTTCGTTCTAATATTAATTATTAAACAAGCTTTCTCTTTATAAAGTACTTAATGAAGGCTTATTAAAATGCTTAACAGGTTATAAATATTATTAGTATTTTTAAATTATTTTAATAAATAACGTAATTTATTTTAATAAATAACAAATTTCCAAGCAAAACGTTCTATGAGGAAATATTCTGATGGAGACGTCACGAATAATATATTGTGACATGGTTTTTAATCTTCGTGGCTAGAACGTAGATTAGTTTCATGTTGTCGATTAGTTTGCTCGGTCGCGGATTCCTTCGTATACATTTAGCAACGGCGTTCATTAAAGCTATTATAAATATGGAAGATAGCGCATGCCAGAGCGAGTTGAGAGAGTGCCTTGCCCCAATTTTTGTGCATATGTATTTGATGTCGATTTCTGCATTTAAATTAATAAACGCATCATAAAATTATAGCTATGTAATCCCTTTCTTTTCTGATAGAATGTAAAAAGTACGAGTCCTACTTCTCTAATTGTAGCATAAGCGTAAAATAAAAGACTATCGTAGTTGCAAAATAAATATGAATACTTTGGAACATAAAAGAAACCTAGGATAAAGAGATTCGGTCATTTTATAAGAGATATTTATCGCAAAGATTTGAATATTCTTTGCTGATTTACATGACGCTCGATTTACATTTTCTTGTACTTATCATAATAATAATTACATCAGTTTACAAGGTTTTTACTCTTGCAAGAGTATATAAAGACCATTTGTAAGAGAATATTCGATGCTAAGATCGATCCGCTATCGAAATATTTTCATCGAGGTACGTATTATGAAATTATTCGGAATAGATTCCGATCGGAATTATTCCGTAGACGTGTATTATGTTTTCTAAGGGAAATGAAATAATTCCGATCGGAATCCATTCCAAACAATTCCATAATACGTGTTCAGGTCGGATTTTTGAGATATAAGAAAAGATATTTTTTTCCAATATATAGAAAAGTTTAATTAAAATTAGAAAAAAAATATTAAGCATTTAATTCTTGTTTTTTGCTATACCTTAAAAAATGACATGCTATGTCTTGAAAATGATATGCTATATTTTAAAACTGATATGCTGTGTTTTAAAAATTCTTCTTAATTTTTCTGGCGACAGATTCGAATTCAGCGTCTCAAAACAACGTTGTTTCCTTTTCTTGCGCTAAAAATTATTAAACTATAATGATTAGTGACGCAATGCAACCTTAATACTGTTTTACAGTTATCTTATCCATAATGATAACTTTGAATTAATTGCAAAAACAAAATAATGAATACGCTTCAACAATATTTCGTACTTAGAATGATTAGATTGCATTTGTGTTAGATAATAAAATTTTTATAAAGATAAAGAAATTTCCTATAATGCTTTTTACTGTATGTAAAAAATTGCTATGACAAACATATTTACGTATCATAAACAACAATAACAGAATCATTTCTTTACTTATTTAATTATTACTAGTTTAATTATTATTTGTAAAATAGATTTTGTTCTTTTAAGAAAGAAAAACGAAAAACCATTTGAAATAATGATGAGAACACAATTATGTGTAGATTGCGCTAATATTGTAACTAATATAAATACGAATGTATCATTTTATACATCCTATATAGCACAGAATTTGCAGCAATATTCCTGCAAAATCTCTACAATATTGTAGCAATGTTGCTGCAACTTTTGTGGGAGATCTTTCGACTTAAAATAAGTGTTTTATTCTGAAAAAGTATTCTCTTGTTTCCTTGATTTGTATGCTGCATTTCTTCAATCTTTGATTATAGATCTCTTGATAATCTTTTAGAATTGGAAATAAATCCATGATGATCATTTTCACGTAAATCAATTTGTCGCAATGCTTTCATTATCAGACTTATACTTAAAAATTTATCGCTGTCTTAACACGACGTAAGTTAGATTATTGATTTCTCGGTGAAATACTTCCTGTGTTTCTACATAGATTCTAAGTTGGTACTCGCTGGTACACAATACCAGACTCATATTTTTCTGGACCGTTTTGTTTCTCGAGATTTTGTCCTCGAGTTGAGAAGAGTTGAGAGGGTGGTCGAAAGATTTCGGTAGGTCCAGATGTTATACGTGTTCGGCGGCGGAAACAATGATATGATGGCCCGTTTAACTCGTCTACAACCTCCCCGCCGCGGGATGCCGACTCGTTTCCTTTTCTTGGCGGAGGCTTCAACGCCGGTTGGGTGCCCGCTGGTCGAGTTCGCGGACATGCGAGCATTACGGATGGGATCGGCGGCTCGATCTTCTGCTCGCTTGAAGAAATAGCGTGTTTGTCGGGCGTCGAAGGGCGTCTATAACCTGTCCGACAGGATGCTACTGCGACGACAGCTATACTCGCCACGTACAACATCGACAACCACTACCAATCGTCGACGCACTGAATGCGTCGTACAGGAAGAACAGAGAAACAGGTGGGGGAAAAACTCATCGCCGATCGATGGATCCGTCAAATGAATTTCGATGTCGAGATTATTTATGGGATAGGTGTCGACCGGGGCGACGGCGACATCGCCATTTCGTCGGGATTTCTTGACACATCCCGAGACGTGTCAAGCTCGAAAGAATACACGGAAGGATGAGTCTCTGCTAAGTCTTGGGTGCAATTTTTATACAAAGCATATATGTCGGAGTAAGCAACTTGACGATATCAAGACGTTTTCATTTCGAAATTAAAACTTTGAAATTTCATTAAAGTTCTTATTAGACAATCATAAAAAATGTCTGTTTACTTGGATAAGTTCAGGTTTTAAATTTCTTTGACAACTGCATAGTTGAATCATGATTTGTCACTGAATAGTTTATGAGAACGGTTACAATTAAAACTATATGATTATGATCGATATGATTGATATGATCTGTCTTCTTCGACAATATCCGCAATGTTCTTGATGATGAA